ACCCCAGGCACCCAGCTCGGTGCTCATTTACAATTTCATTGGCTTATTTACAACTCCCAAATTTCGGATTTTGGGCGAAATCCCATCTCAGGATTTCTCCCCTGACCCCAGGCATCCCAGCTTGGTGCTTATTTCCAATTTCATTGGCTTATTTACAAGTCCAAAATTTCAGATTTCAGGCAAAATCGAATCTCAGGATTTCTCTCTGACCCCAGGCACTCCAGACTTATACACAACTCCAAAATTTTGGATTTTGAGCAAATTTGAATCTCAGGATTTATCTTTGACCCCAGGCATTTCAGGCTTATCTACAACTCCAAAATTTCAGATTTCGCCCAAAATCCCATCTCAGGATTTCTCCCTGACCCCATCCATCCAGCTTGGTGCTTATTTACAACTCCAAAATTTCAGATTTCAGCCAAAATCCCATCTCAGGATTTCTCCCTCACCCCAGGCACCCAGCTCGGTGCTCATTTACAATTTCATTGGCTTATTTACAACTCCAAAATTTCGGATTTCGCCCGAAATCCCATCTCAGGATTTCTCCCTGACCCCAGACATTTCAGGCTTATTTACAACTCCCAAATTTCAGATTTTGCCCGAAATCCCATCTCAGGATTTCTCCCTGGCCCCAGGCATCTCAGGCTTATTTACAACTCCCAATTTTGGGATTTCGCCCGAAATCCCATCTCAGGATTTCTCCCTGGCGCCAGACATTTCAGGCTTATTTACAACTCCCAAATTTCAGATTTCAGCCAAAATCCCATCTCAGGATTTCTCCCTGGCCCCAGGCATCCCGGGCTCATTGACACCTCCCAAATTTCGGGATTCTCGGGGTCTCCTGCCCTTTCTCCCCGTACCTCCAGGGCCGCGGAGAACTCGGCGGCGGCGCCGGCGAAGTCCCGCAGCCGCCAGCGGGCACTGCCCGCCCGCAGGGCCGCCCGTAGCCCCGCGCCCGCGCCGGGCCACCCGCTGTCCCCGGGGCCCTGCGCGGGCGGCCCGGCCGCCGGTGGCACCGATGGTGGCACCGATGGTGGCACCGATGGTGGCACCGCTGGTGGCATTGCTGGTGGCACTGATGGTGGCACCGATGGTGGCATTGCTGGTGGCATCGCTGGTGGCACCGATGGTGGCACTGATGGTGGCACTGATGGTGGCATTGCTGGTGGCATCGCTGGTGGCATTGCTGGTGGCACTGATGGTGGCACCGATGGTGGCATTGCTGGTGGCACCGATGGTGGCACTGATGGTGGCACCGATGGTGGCATTGCTGGTGGCATTGCTGGTGGCACCGCTGGTGGCATCACTGGTGGCATCGCTGGTGGCACTGATGGTGGCATCGCTGGTGGCATCGCTGGTGGCATCGCTGGTGGCACTGATGGTGGCATTGCTGGTGGCACCGATGCTGGCATCACTGGTGGCATCGCTGGTGGCACTGATGGTCGCACCGCTGGTGGCACCATTGGTGGAACTGATGGTGGCATCACTGATGGCATTGCTGGTGGCATCACTGGTGGCACCACTGGTGGCATCGCTGGTGGCATCTTTGGTGGCATAACTGGTGGCACCACCGGTGGCACCATTGGTGGAACTGATGGTGTCATCACTGGTGTCATCGCTGGTGTCATCACTGGTGTCACCACTGGTGTCATCGCCGGTGGCCCTGACGGCGGCACCGCGGGCGGCACCGGCTCTCCGCACTCGAAGTCGGCGTCCAGCTGGTCGGCGCAGATCAGCTCCTCCTCCATCTCCCGGAGCCTGGCCAGGGGGATGCCAGGAGGGACGGGCGGGACCGTGCCCGTCCCGCTCGCTCCTCCTGCTGCCCCCGGAATTGTCCCCGGATTTGTCCCCGGATTTGTCACCGGAATTGTCCCCGGATTTGTCACCAGATTTGTCACCGGATTTGTCACCAGATTTGTCACTGGATTTGTCAATGGATTTGTCAATGGATTTGTCACCAGATTTGTCACCAGATTTGTCACCGGATTTGTCACCAGATTTGTCACCGGATTTGTCACTGGATTTGTCACCAGATTTGTCACTGGATTTGTCACTGGATTTG